GCCTTTTCCTTTTCTCAAGTACACGATGCCGTCGATAGCACGTGGGACTTGACATTCAGCACCGTTGAACGTGAAGAACCAGCGCTTACAACAAAAGTTGCAGTTATAAACCCTTAAGTTCCCGTTCCAGAAAACACGAAGGAAAGAGTCGCTGTAGTTCTTGTGAAAAACACAATCCTGCAGGAAAAACATTTATTAGAATAACACTGAGGTTAGCAGGCTTGTAATGGGTGACTATTACTAAAGCAGAACTGAATCACTACGATCTTTTTTTTGTTTTGTTTTGTTTTTTCTTCAAACTAGCCTAACCAACCATACCGAACCAAACCGAAAGTGAAAAATTTTATATGGATAAGAACGTTCAATAAAATCCAAAATAGTCCCTTTACCAGTTACAATTACTGCTGTAATACTTGACAACAGACGCGCTTGCACAGATACCAAATGGCTATGCATATAAACCTCCCAGAGGGCTTTTCAGGAATAATATCCAAAAAATACTACATTTACAATTAAGATTCTAAAAAACCATATAAGTGGTGATAATTCTAATAGAATATCCGAAATAATATACGAAAATTATTTAAGGAAACTCTTATATGATGTCTTAAAACGATTTAAAGACTCAATAGATTTGAGTGAATCTGCCAACTCATTCCACAAAGTCACTGCCCTATATATTTGGTATCTGTGCAAGCGCATCTGTTGTCAAATGTTATGATAGAATATTATTATTTTCTGAATCTTGGCTAAAAAAAAAATGTCGCTTACGTTGATATTAAACGATAAAAACTCAATACTGAATTAATGTTGATTCGGTAGCAAAAAACCGTTATTGCTATTCTCAACCGCAAGTACAGCCTAGTTGAGCTACCCAGTATGGGGTCAAACTAAAAAACAAAGATAAGGCGGCCTTTCTAGAAGCCGCTATATACAGTCCATGTATATGATCTCGGAGCTCCAATCCATTTCTATTTGTTAGGGACGGTTTTAGAGGAGAGGAAATAAACCAAGAGCTGGAAAAGCTTTTGGAGTTGGAAAGAAAACCAACCAGGATGCACACTAGAGAAAAATGTTTGTGCATGCGTGCATTTCAGCACGTTTTCTAAGAATGTTGAAGATTTTGAGTGAGAAAATGAATGTTTGTTTTCTCAAAGTATACAAAACAGTTCGAGAGTATATTTTTGTCAGACCAAGATACTGTATTAACAAACACAATATGAAAGAATTAGACTTAAGTTTCAAGTATGGACACTAAGTTTTGGCATTTTGTTAAGTCCAATTTATCAGGTATGTTTGAAAGTCAAATTTACTTATGTTTTGACTAATTTGCATACGGATTCAGAGAATGCGCAGACGTTTTTCACTCGCGTCACCAGGATGTATACAACTTGAAATTGAAGTCTTTGCTGTCATACAAAGGAAGATGTTTACCTAGCATGCTTTGCGCGCCATGACCAACTATATTATCACACTGAAAAGTCACGTGAACTACTCATTTTCGCTTTGGTGTCAATGTAGAAACATCGACTATGGATAATACTATTGAGATGATACTATGCTCTTTGTCTACTGTATTGTCTACACAAAAAAATCAATTAGACGGAATTTGCTGGTATTGCGTGTTTTAAACTTGTGAAATTTAGCAGCCATCTTAATTTCCAGGCATTTTTGAAGAAAGAAGACTTGCATTGCCGGTTTTTGAACAACAACAATCTCGATTTTCCGGAAAGAAGTAAATCGTTAGTGAACAAAGTTTTATCTAGCAGCTGTTGTTCGAGGTACAAAAGCCATGTGTTAAGTTTGTTGTTGTTTATCTACCCTTGAGAAAAATATACAAACTTCTTTCTACGATCGAGGATTTTCTTCGAATGTTTTGCCTTTGCATTTGAAATTTTAAGTTTTTTTTTCAAATTGATTTTTAAATAAAATTACACTATCTGCACTGTTGAATACTATAGGTTTGGCTTTCTTGAGTTGAATAAAATTAGTGTCTAGTGGATTGACTATTCATTCGCTTACAGTTTGTTAGATTAAGGAKWTTTTTGAATTGTCTGTCGGGYTTGTTACACKTTCTGTGARTARAAAATAAAAGTAAACTTAGCGGGHYTAACTCTATTTCCTCTTTATAAAACTGCCTTCACATGACTTAAATAAAAATAGATATATAAACTTTTGCCTTGTTGCTGTTATCATATGAAGTATACGTTTGAATTCTAAAATCAAGATTATCAGAATTGTATAAGACACTCAAAAACACATCAAGGACGTAAGACAAGACGAAGTGAAACACATGGGGAATTTTATAGTGGAAATTGTAATGGCCGTATCTCACTCAAACGTGGAGACTTTTAAAAGGAGACCTAAGGTATATAGCATAGTATGAAGACTATACTTTATGTAGGTGTGTCTTCTTTTTAATTTTCTTCGTCTAATATCGGCTTATTCCCACGTAATTCAAAGCCTTCAAACACATTGCTTGTATCTGAACAATTTTTATCTTTTTCTATTTATTCATTGATACGACATATTTTGATTTTCCAATGGCAAAAATTACAAAAACACCGAAGTCCCAGAGATCATGGCCAGACTTTCTATTGTTTATCAGTATGGATGCAGAAAATATTTAATAAGCGAACGGCTGTTGATTTTGTTTGGAGAAAAAAAACAACAACAAACAAACAAACGCTAAAGACAGATGCATAATGAGTACGGCGCGCAAAGCATGCTAGTGAAACATCCTCCTTTTTGTCAGCCCTAAGCGTAACACAGGCATGGAGGAGAATGATGACAATTTGAAACTGGAGAAATACCTACCCTGATCAGACCACTATCTTTTCCTTCGTCAATGTTGGTCCACGAACATTCTTTCCAGTTCGAATAGGCTGAGAGTCCACTCGCCCCAGACTCCCCCTTTTCTCCTTTTGAACCAGCGTCACCCTTTGGACCCTGAGGACCAGTTTTACCGGGTGTACCAGCAGCTCCGGGAGGTCCTTGCTTGCCTGGAGTCCCGTCAAACCCTCGAGGACCTTGTTTACCTTGAGTACCTGTTCTGCCATCTCGTCCGTCTCGTCCAGGAGCACCGGGTGTACCGTGGAGACCAGGGATACCAGGACGACACGCCAGACATGAAAAATCTGTTCCGGGCTGAAAACAATTAACAATTAAGTCATGAAATGGTTTATGTCAAAACAGCTTCACATAATCATATGATATTTGATAAAAACTAGATTCGCCCTGATTGTCTGACAGAAAAACTGAAATAGCAATCAAGCATTAATATCGTTAAACATATTGTCTTGTGCGTAATCCCTGCTAGATATATCGCTAAATTAAAAAAGATGTTGAAAGCCAAACAACCTATATCCGACATCTCAACATTGCTCGTGGTCTGAACTAGACTTCGTTAGATTCCGTCTCGATTTCTTATTACCTTCGAGAGAATTCAACTTGTTCGATAACGATCTTGAAAAGAAATCAAAGTCCAGCTTGAACAAGTCACAGGTAAATGAAAAACTCCATTACAATTCTTTCTTGAAGCTTGCCGGATTCAAGGATTTAGATATATCAATGACTGCTCTAGCTGGGCTTGATGACAATGACGATGACGTTTCTTGTCGATCCTTGGTCGACTGTGGTTTGGCATGCACTGAGCTAACGGCTAAATATACTGTACGACGGCTACTATTCATATACACATATCATTCATATGCATGAAAAATGATATTTAAGCCGATGTTGTCTTTACTGAAGACTTTCGTTCCCGCAATTAAGTGTGCATAGTTCATATAGCTCTATACAATAGTCCATATCAGTTTTGTTTATCATCTGATTGCATGGTAACGGAATGACGCTATAGCTTGAATGTAGCCCGGGGAATGTAGCCATCTCTGTGTCGTGTGGCTATAGCTCGAATATAGCCAAGAAAGTTTTTTTTACTGTGGTGGCTAAATAGGGGTTCTGAGTTTATTTTTTCCAATTTTTGGAGTCGCAGAATTTTGAAGGCAAATATGTTTTCAATTCGGTATTTCCCCATCATTAATATGCATTCAAATTGTGATTGTCATCAGTTAGTGCATGAGAAAACGTTTTTGAACATACCATAATATATAAAGCCCACGCACGTGCAAACGGAGCAGCATTATCGACATTATCGTACGATGACAATGATGAACTACCACACTTGAACAAACATAAGTTTATTTATTAAGAATATGGTTTATTTTTCCTTTTTTTTTTTTGGCTTGGATGGCAGGGAAGCGTCATGCTTTAGCTTGACGTGCAAACRCGCCGAAAACAGTGTTGTCACGCCGTTTTGTATGCTATGTAACGCTTGTCACGCATTCGGTTTAAGACTTAGCCCTAATGATATTCTGTAAAAATTCGTATCTCTTAAAAACTCCTGGATACTTCTAATTTTCTTTGTTTAAGTTATAAAGTAAATGCCAACTTAGTCTTTAATTAACCTCAATAATTGCTTTTTAAAAGAAAATGGGCACAATCTGTATGTACCTAATGATAACAAAATAGGGAGCACGAAGCCAAGAAATTATATATTTTAAAACTAACAGTTAGAGTCATAGAAAAAAAGTCGTTTTTTCTCGTGTTAGTAAAATTATGACGTCATCACTTTTTAACGATCCTTTAAGCTTTATTATTTTCTTTTAAATGCATGGTGTTCCCTACTTTTGTAACATATTTTTTTCAGCCCTATGATAGGATAAAACAATTCGCATAGTCATTTTAAAATATTACTGATTCTCAATTAGCAGGCAACGTCCTTTTACAGTCACATTTTGAACTCTAATTTCACAATTATTTTAATCCATGTATGTGACTAATTAGTACGTTTTGACTAAATTAAACAATGAAGCCTCTCGTTCTCGTGATCTTCAAGTCAACAGCCAATCGCTCGGCCTTCAATTTTAATTGTTAACATCGCCAACTATTCCGTGCATGCGCCCGCGTACAAATGCAGCGGTGT